ATATGCTTTGAATATGCATAGGTATATAATAGCAATAATTTTTTCTATTAGAGTTGTAAAAAAACAGCATTAAGTCTGGTTGAAACAAATTGGCATCACTTTTGAAATATTTCAAATGCTTGTTTTTGACATATGTTTTTTGTTGTGTTGTGTACAATTTAATATATAAAAATTGGACACTAAAAGTTAATTAATTTAAATAAAAGAAAATAAATATTTGAATATTGGAATGGCAATGTTAAACTTTTTTATCTTGAATATTTAAATAAATTAATTTACTTATGTATTTGCGCTTATAAGTAAATGAAATGCTCATATGATTTTAACGGATAACTGGAACTTTTAAACATATTTCCGGTGAACATTCACAATAGACTGATTTTTTAATTTGGTTGCACTGAAACTTAAGACGTAAAATTTCTTACGCGTAAAACCTAACTCTAAAAATTTTAAGAGCATTATTGTTGCTTCACATGCTTTCTTTCGTAAGTTGCGAGCATTTTTTTGCTTCTCTGAAAGAAAAAATTACTACTAATCTTAATACAATCATTTATAATTATGCTACTTATATGGTATCATTATTAGTAAGATACTAATGTGCATAACATTATCATCTATTATCTATGTTATGAACATTATCATCTATAGATGATATTAATAATTAACTCTAAACCTTGGTGGTAGATATATTTTTGTACTTGTGATTTTTTAAAATTCGCTTAAATATTGTAAACCTTAAATCTTATTGTGAAATAAATAATTTTATAGTTAAAAAAAAATTTTACATTCCTCAAAGGGGTGTTCCTTTTTTTTCAAGGATCTCCAAAAAGTATTATTGAATATAAATTCATCAATAGTTGCAATTGGTTTTATTTAAATAATTTATATAAAATAATGTAAAGAGGTTTTCAAGAAGTAGTAAACAACAACAACAAAAATTCTTTTTTATATTATTTTAATTAATTGAATTTTTAGTTGACCACACAGCTGTTTCGAGTATATCTAAATACCCATCATCAGTGGTTTTGGAAATAGTTCTTGTATTTAATTATTCCTTAATAATTTTTTGAGACTGCAAGTACCAGAATTCGAACTCGTGCCCTGCCAAATTTGAAGCTCAGAGTCAGAGCATCTTAACCAACTGACCCAAAGCCGTACCTGACTTGTATATTCGCACATTTTTTTGGAGTTTTGTTAATTTGCTTTCAAAGTTTTTGTAAAATATTATAAAAATTATAATAATTCAATAAAAAAAGTGTTCATTAATTAAACAATTACAATCTAGTAAAAAAAGTACTACAAACGTAAATTCCATTGAAAAACATAAGTTATATATTTACACACTTCACCAATGTTTTGTTCACTCTTACGGAACATTTTGAGCAATGCAACTGCTTAAAAACACAGAGGTTTGACTTAAACAGTAGTTTTCTATAAAAATTCTTAGGCCTGTCGGAACTTAATACGCCTATTCTTGTTTTATTATTTTTCAGCCATTCCTGTCTTTTCTTCTAGGTTTTTTTTTTAAGTTGAGCATGAAATGGTTGCGTTATTGCATTGAAGAGATTTTTTTCGTCATTAATATGAATTCAATATAATAGAACGATTTATATGAAGTATGAAATTTTAAATTTATTATTTTATAGCTCTAGTAAATGATGTTGAAGATTTTATCTCACATACCTATAGTGTTCTCAACTATTGAAGAGTAATTATGAATGTTTTTGAGGTAACTGCGTATTACCACTATACTAATGTATTCTTGCCCACTACCAATATGTTTTTTCCTGTAAGTAATTAATAAATACGACATTAAAAAATGTCAAATTGATAGATTTTCATTCAATTGAAAATAAAACATTTTTATGGTAAAAGTTATATTATTATTATTTTTAATTTTATATGTATCCTTTAACATTTAATAATTTACTTACATAAAACTACATATAAAATTTACTTAAGTTAATATCATAAATTAAGTTAAATATATATTTACAATTCTAAAGATTAAATAGTTTTATAAAATACTTAATTTAATATCGATCAAACAGATTTATAAATTTGCTGTTAGTCCGACAACATATGATATCCAATCGACCGTAAAAGGTACGCGGTGGTAGATACCGGGTTGTCCACGGGAAGCACAGGAATAACCAGCAGATACTACACCTTTATATTAAAAGTTCATATTTTCATATTATTAATTTACTAAATAGTAAATAAAAATACAAACCAATTAAATACCACCGGCCATTTTTTTCATTCATTAATGGACCACCAGAGTCACCCTGACATGAGTCCTTTCCGCCGTTTCGATATCCAGCACACATCATTTCTGGATATATCACAACATTGATGCCATTTTGTCGATGCCATCTTTCACAAATTCTATAATCGAAATGTTAAAAAATGTACTTTAAATGGATGTGACAAATAATATAGATAAATAAATAGATAGGCTGCCCGAACAGAATATTGTTTCAATTTGAAATTTATAGACGAAAGAATTTGTTTCCAAAATTTTTATATGTGGTGTTTTATATATATACTGAACAAATTTTAGAAACACACTATAATATCACACATATCTTTCATTGAAGTAATTTCAGTTCTGCATATTCCACAAGCATTTAAAAACACTTTCAAAACGTAAGAGGAAAGGACATGTAAATAGGTACACACTTAATTGTGTAACTTTTAAAGTTCAAATCAGTATTCATAAAAATTTAAATTTATATTAAATACACATATTTTTAGCCAAATAACCATAAAGAAATAAATAGATGAATTTGTAAAATATAATAAATCTATTTGGGTTACATTTGGAGCATTGCATAAAATTTAAGGTTAACATAATCGACCTACACAACTTAATATTCGTAATATATTTGAAAAATTTTACTCAAATAGTAATTTTTGTAATGTTCAGGATTCGAGTCGTGTTACTAAAAATATCTCTCCGGATTGAATAAAAATCGATAACAGTCAGACTCAATTCTTCGAAACTTAGATTTTTTTATTGACCCCCACGGATTATTTTTCATTAAGATTTGTATTTCATAGTGTACACAATTGAAACAGATTCTGGTTAAATAACTGGTGAATAAACGCAACTATCTCAACTGGAATAAACAGACCCGATATGCTGTTCGTAAAATTTGTTTACATCTGAAGACTTATTTGACTACTATGTATTGTTTTTTAAAATGTAAATGGAATTGCAGTTATTTGGTTCTGAAAATATGGGCACGAATATCACACCAAATAACTTACAGAATATTTCTTAGTTATGAAAATTCGGAGTTATATTGGTTTACTCCAATAATAGCAAACACTCACTGACCCAACAACTAATATTAGAACCATAACTAACATGAAATCATTTTTATAAACTATCATGAAGTAATGTCATAATATAATGTAATATAAAATCAATATCAATATATTGACATCAATATAATAAAAGGTTATTAGACTATGTATTAATTTTTATTACATTTATATAAAAATTACCTGTTTTCTATGACTGGAACATCCACAGCTTGTAAAGTTTTTGGACGTAGACGTGAACCAGGATTTAAAGCACCCCAACCTGCTGCCCAACCAAATTTACCGAGAAAGTCTTCGTTTTTTTCAGGCAAGCAAATCGGCGCTAATGCAATATAAAATAGAAAAATAAATAAAGTTAAAAACTAAAGAAACACATATTCATGTTATTATATAAAATATTTTATATATATAAAATTTTTATTTTGATTTACCCAAGAGACACATAGAGAATGGAGTCACTATCAAATAGTGGCCCCCATATATCCCACCTTAAATATTTGCAACTATTTTATACTACATGGATTGCCTTCAATTTAATGTTTTCATATGTACTTTGAATTACCGTTTCGTGATTTTCAAGGCACTGATAAATAATAGTCTTGGCGCGATTACGATTTCCTGGACACGATAACGTTAACTGTTAAAAACAATGTGAAGTAAAGCTAATGTTGTCCGATTCTTAGTTTTAATGAAAATATTCGCAAAGATTTTATCATCTGTTTGGCAGAGTACGAAAGGTACCTTTAGCATATGTATGTATATGATAAATACCTACAGCCAACGTAAAGCTTAGCTTTAAACCTTATACATATATAACAGTTTAGCAATAAGAAGATCTGGAAGAACTCACCTATTTAATATACTGACAGGACTTATAACTTGTAAAATATATAAATCTGTATTCCTACATTTTAAAATTTGTTAACAAAATTTACTTAAGAGAATCTCTCAAATATATATATATACTTAGAAAAAAATTTTTTATTTAAAACTTTCTTCTAATTTTCATAAAATTAATATAAATAAGACTATTTACTGTTGACTGTAAAATAATTAAATACGTCCCAAATATATCAAATAGTCAGTTACCTATATGCGGCATGAAATGTACCGGTCTTTCCAATGTAAGCACTGAGACATCAAATCTGTCAGCTTGTGGAGTAAATTTAAAATACGGATGAACATCTATACGACGAACTCCAAATGTATATGCAGGTAATGGTTCAACTGCCGAGTTAATAACATAGTCGCCAAGAGTTACGTGCACCTGTCGTGAAATCGCACGAGCAACACAATGTCCAGCTGTCACCACATGACGTCGCGACACCAATGATCCACCACATCTAAAAATTATAACACAGAAAAAATCAAATATATTTAATTATTGCAAATGTTTATACAAAGATAACTCTTTTTATAGAAATATATTCTTCACTTCTTATTCATCATTTATTTTTTATCTTTCATTTTTAATTTAAGGTAAGCTTAGAACTGACCACCTATAGCTTTTTTTAAACAACATGTCATTGAAACAAAATATATAAAAATAATATCACTTTTTAATCGGGACGTTGTCAAAGTCTCCTTAAATTAAGAATACATTTTAATTAAAAATATCATTTAAATAAAAATACGTACCTAGAAGACCCAATTCGAATGTATGCTTGCCAAGGAAAAGAACCAAATCCCGCGTCGTCTCCACCAACAATTCTTCTCTGGGCAGTTTGTTTGGCTAAAGAGATACCACAACCTGTAAATAAAACGTTAGTAAAAATATTTATATATATAATGAAAGGTTTCAAAATAACAATATATATTTCTTAACATTAACTAATTTTTATTGTTTTTTAAGTTAATTATTTTCAGACTGGTGATATAAAATGATATGCATTCCATTAAAATTATCGGTAAGTAAGTCCATTAATGTAAATATATCAAACTCTTATTTAAAAAATTAGCAATTGCAATCCAGTATTCAAAATATTATTAATATGTAATGATTTTATTTATATATAAATAACATACATAATTGTATACTAGCACTAAAATAAATATATTTTGATACCTACATATCTATATATATATAATCTAATTTGTTTATATACAATAAAATGGGCTTAAGCGCGTTTCAAGTAATGATATTTTCAAATCGTCAATGGCTTTCTGTAATTCTCTGTTTATTTTGTTTATTTCTATATTAACTTTTTTTTATCTTAAAATAGAAATATTCAGCTTTTATTAGGAAAAATTATTTACATGATTTACATGATTTTATTAGAAAACTGTTACTATATAATTTTAAAGTTTAAGAAGATTGGTACGTAAACAGTACCATTGTCAAGGAACTGAAGATCAACTACAAAACTTTTTCAAATCATTCGTGTAAATATGATTTTGAACAATAAAATAGATGTTTCGGTGTCTCATGAATCAAGTGAAAGAATTTAATGTCCCTCTATCTGAAGATTTCTACTAATAAGAAACGAAACGGAGCTGCTTGAGAACTTACGGCTTCACAAAAGCAATATGGATTGACTTCAAGAAAGATGATGTGTAAGTTCATTAAGATAATTCAAATGATCTGTAACGTATGATTCAAGTACATGCTGCCAGCAATTGAAATTATAGAAATAACGAAATATTAAAATATCGAAAATTTAAAACCTCAGTTTATTAATTATTTTTAGATAACTGATGTGAATTGTCTGTAACAACAAAGAATGCAAATCTAATAGTTTTTTAAAAATAAATTCTTATTATTGCTAGATTCTGATTTTATAATGCCTTACAAATTATTTTTATTACTTAGTCTACAAAAAATTAAAACAAGATCATAGGTTGTCATAGTAAGCAATCAAGACAAAGTCCTAGGTACTGTATATGTTTTTACTGTTAAATTACATTAACAGCCTTTCCGCTCTCCTTCTACTTTTGTTTACTTGAATGGGGGTTGCATTCGATGAACGCGGGTCCTATTTTTCACAACCATTCCTAAGAGGTGGTTTAGTGGTTTCAAATCTCACACGGTGGCTTGCAATGCTTCCACCTTCCAGCATAGATGCAAAGTGACAAATATACCCCAAATTGTCTAATGGATTATGAGATTATAAATTTAATTTTTTTCAAATAAGCTGTTAAATTTTTTTCTAGTTCTAAAATTCTTGTACTTAACCTTTTTTTTCAGCGAAAGAAAAGTTATAGAATATTCATTGTTTTGTATCTGGTCTTGAATACAATTTTATTCCACCAAAAATATATACATATGGTATTTATGAACTTTCAAACAAATCAAACTATTAAAATAAAAATATGTTAAATAATTATAAATAAGACTTGCTTATGTATATGGAATATTATGTTATGATGTTTAAATTAAGTTTTCAAAATCATGCAAAAAACTACGAAGAAATTTACGTATACGTGAATTGTTCAGTTTGAGACCACAAAAGAAAAACGCTTTCATGTAAGAAATCATATGATGTAGATATTATCGTATGAATCATATGATATTAAACCTAGCTACAGAAATTTATTATAAAACAAAACAATAAATAATTAGAAAATAAAAAGAAAAGTTTGATTGTGTCTTTAAAGACACTTCAATCCCCCTTCATACAATTCTATCACAAATCATTTATACATTATTGCAGTAACTTAAAAAGCTCTAATAAAACGAATTTTTAGTTTAATTTTCAATTAAATGAGTCTACAAATTTAATATAATAAAAGCAGAATTCCTTTACTACGAAGACAAAAGCTAAGAAGACGTTCTCTAAATCGTAAATCGGGCGATGGTAACAATTTTCACCTAATGATATTACTTTGTAAGTGTTAATCCAAAAATAAAGCTTATTTCTCAAGATATTACGGTTTAAAGCTGTAAAGTTTTTATATTAATAACATTAGCAAAAACTACATACTCCTTCAAGTGCAGACTAATACATGCAATATTAATTTTATACATGCAATTTATATTAATTTCACAACGGGTGGTGGTAAAAACTTCCAACTTTAAAGTCCGATATCTCAAAAACTAAGCTCTATTATTAACATATAATGTTTATTTCAAATAGCTGTCTTTACTTAAATCCGTTGTCAAATATACTCTCTCAGGATATTGGAATCGTTCTTTTTTTTCTAACAAGTTGTTCAGTTCTATGGGAGACACAACCACACTAAAACGATTTACCTATGCAAAACTTATTGAAACTATAGAATTAGTGTCCTTCAGTAATCAAATGAATGTAAATTTGATAAGTGCTTATAGAAAGGCAACATGATATACTCAATTAACTCATGAATTCAACAGTTAAATATGTCTGAAATAACATCTTCCATTGAAGATGGAATAATACCAGTAATATAAATACCATAGATATGGATCGAATAACAAAACTGTTGTAATGTTTTTTTTTCATATCGTATTTTAAATAAGATAATGTTAAAAGGTTTATGTTCACCAAAATACATTTTAAGTTTATTTTAATCAATATACTTATGCATATCCTGCCATCATCAAATATATTAGCTCAAACTATTCAAGTATTAAAATAGCAGTTATTTTTTTTTAATCAAGTACAACAAAAAGTGATTGTTTGTGGTTATATGAAAATTAAGAATTGATAAAGAATTAAAAATCAGAAATTTTTAATTTAATGTACTAAATTTAAAGTTCCACCATGTATTCTGCATTCATACCTTAACATTCGAAATAACAACATATATAGATTAAAACTTAGTGGATTTTATAAGACTATAATGCCACATTGCATAAAGTAATATTTACGAAAAAAAATTTAAAATCAAAAGTATATATAGTAGATACAAACGATGGGATTTATATATAGCTATAGAAATTAATATATCCGTCATCCACAGTAGTGAGGGAGCTAGAGCTGGTGTATATGGACCAGGTAAGATATATTCGGAAGCATCGGGAAGAAATATAATTTAAAAAAAAGGTGACTTTAAACGCAACTTCGGAACCGTAGAATTGTAATACTGACTAACAACCAGGCAGCCAGGTGACAGGTGACCAAGTGACATCGAAACTGGTATGGGAGTGCATTGACAAGTTTAACATACTTGGCTACAACAATCAGGTGCACTTATTATGGATTTCGGGACATACTGGCATCCAAGGCAATGAAATGGCAGATAAACTTCCCAGAGGAGGCGTGGCTTCTATTATGATAATGCCAGAACTTTTCTGGGGTCCAGGCAAAGGAACTCTATCCATTCATTATTAGGAAAGACTTCCATGACTATCACAATCTAAAATGCTTTTAGAGACTTAATGACTAAAACGCTTCAAGGATTGCATAAAACAAACAAATAATAACCTAAGAATTATTACGGAATTACTAACCAATTACTGTAGATTGAATAATCACCTAACAAAGTTAGGAAACGATTTCAACTCAGACTGCAGATACTGTAGAGAAGAGAGAGAAACCAAAAACCATGTACTAGGGCAATGCCCGGCACTGATGCACAAGCGGAAAAAATACGTAGAAGGGTGTTTTATGGAACATAGGGAATTAAGACTAGAAAAGATAAGCCATATACACTCTAAATCCTAGAAACACTAAAATCTAGAAACACTCTAATCCTACTAAGGAGCACAATAGATCATTTAGGTCGCAGTGCTGTATCCTGTTTTCATAATAATAATACTAATAGTCGAAACTTGATTTACCTACATCCAATATATAATTCATGCTAAAATAGATGTAACGAAAAAATGGTTTATTTCGTAATTGTAAGCAAATATTATTTACATATGTTCAAGAAAACTAATATCTATATTTTGTGTCTCCCATATTTTCTTTACAACAAAAATATATACATGAAGATCATTTACCTATGGTATAATTAGATCATTTCAAATAATATTTTTATTAACACTCATAAAATACAGAGAATATAAAAAAAATAAATATATAGTCTCAAACTGAACCCATTTATATTTTCAAATATGTAGACCCTTGACCATTAATAAGAACTAACAATTTGATGCAAACCAAAAAAAAAAAAAAATTGACCACTACTTGTTCGTGCAATTGAATTATGACAAGGTTATACACTCACTAGCATCATTTTTAATTGGTCCATAGTTTTTTAATGGAAGATCAGTTAAGTCGATCGTATCACCTACATAATCCGAAGTAAGCAAATTTATTGACTTTGCTGTTCGATGACAACATCCACGTAGTAATCCATCGCAAGTGCCTTGTAAAAGGCCTCCACTCATCCAACAGGTCAAAAAAAATTCACAAGTTCCACCACGATGTTGGCATTGTAGTTCTGTAGTTATGTCGACTGGGTTATATATGATGAAGAAATACAATTATTGTATTTAAAATAATTGTGTTTATTTGCATAAGCCAACGATGTTTATTATTTATAAACTAATTTTCTAAATAAATTTAGAGTCTATCTTACGTTATATCGCTTATGTTAATTATATTTTATTATAATTTAATTTCACTTAAAATAATAAATTAGTTTAATACATCTTTTCCCTTATGATAGGAAGTCACTTACACTAACACAAACAATATATATACTTATAGTATATAAGTAATTTTCAAGAAACCAATTCTGCAGTTATCCATTTAGAGTTGTTTTGATTACAGTTTATCGTAGCAATTGAAATGATATAAGATATAACATGGATATTCACAAAATTTATATTTTCCTGACTTGATTAAAATAACTTCATATAAAATATAATCAAATTAGAGTCTATTGCAAATCACTATTTCAAAACCTTATTTTCAATTAAATTAAATCACAAAGTGTTGTACCTATTACTATATAACTGGTTTAAAATAATTTCGGGATGTATTTTATTAATAACATTTTTGATATATATAACATACATAGAAAATGTATAAAATGTTGAAGTGATGGTAACATGAGATTATTTCATTACAAATCAATTGTTGATGGATAAAATTTGAAATGGGGGTGTGATCCACCACACTAATATATTAACTATATTTACCACATATTCTCAAAGAAAGAATTCTATTTCGCTTGCCGTGGAATTTTCTGAGTCAATACCATACGAGTGCTATAATATAGAGTAATACTAAATTGTGGTGTATCTAAGCCACAATTTTTTCTATACAAAACTCTTCATCCAAGTCGATTAAATAAGTGATTTAAAAATTATTTACATCTCACCTTTTTCTTTGAATGTATTTGCGGAATGGGGTGTGCTAGTTTCAGTAGCTGAATCCAAATCCTTTAAATTAAATTCGTTTCGCACATCTTGTATAGCAGCTAATTCATTCAAGCCAAAGTTTTGGTCTCTGTAAGAGCAGAGTCATTATCATAAAAAAAGTTTATTAAGAGCACATACCTAAATGCGACATTGTCGTTGAAATAAACACCTATTCCTGTACCTGGTCCAGAGGCAGATCCAGAGCCGGTAGGGCTGGCATTATCATTTGTCGGGAATATTACGCGTGGACTACGGGATGACTTGAATGGAAAGTATCGACTTTTGCGTACGTTTTGAAAATTGTTTAAGCCTACAAACTCATTCAATGCTTTTGTAGGCACAAATTGTCGGGGAGGACCGCCCAATATTTCAGCTTCACCAAAAAAATTTATTCGTTTCGAATGCTGAGGCAATGCAGTTATGGGACCATTAACATCACCAAATTTTGTCACGTCTTCATAAAAAATTTTGGCTCCACCATTTGCACTATTTAAAGTATGTGGTTTAGTATTTACACTTTTACCAGGAAATTCAATATTATGTGAAATATGACTGGGGTCAGTTTCGAATATAAGTTGACGTGTGTTTCTAGTTTCTTTATTAGAGGGCATAGAAGAAAAATCATCGTTATATGGATTTTCATATATCGGTATTTCACTTAAAATAGGATTATCTTCACGATATGATTCCGGCTGAAACGAACTCGCACTTTTCAGGCTGTAACTAGGAGAGTGAAAGTCTATTCGTTTACTTAAGTTATCTCCTGAAAAATCTATCCTATCCGATGTTATGATTTTGTCACTGCGCTCAGTTAATTCCGAATTAAGATTTTCATTAGATTCAATTGCGGATTGAAAATTTAAGGAGTTATTGCGTTTGTATTTCAATCCAGTTAAGATTACGTTGTTACTCACATCTGCACTTAAAGGTATATACTTATAATTTCGTTTTCTTCCTACGCGTGTTATATTCTCCGTCCAAACGGGAACTACTTGCTTTGGAATAGTTATGAGTGCGTTAGGAGGTAATTCTACTGCTGGTATAGCTTCCGAAAAGATAGCTGAATAATTATTTGTGGAAGTATCCTGAATGTTGTGGTAATCATTGTGTGCATCCATAACTTTACTGCTTTCAGGCGGACTGTATGGTTTCTGTGCATTATCAAGACTTTCTGAAGTTTTTGTTGTTGAACTTAACCATTGTGATTGAATGTGAGTATTACTGATTGTATCATGAGATATAGTTGAAGGCGGTTTATTGAAAATATGTGTATGTGGTAAGTCCGTAAGTATTTTTGTAGCATGCATTACAGGCACTGAAGTCTCGTAAGCACTTATTCTAATAGATAATATACCAACTACAATTGTATAAAGACTACATTTTACAGTCGCTAACATTTTACATCTGGCTGAGTGCAAACACCACAATATAACAACACTTCAATGTGTGATCACAAATTTTCGAGTTGATTTGGAGTTTTTTAATTTATGATCGCAACCAGAAAGTTCATAAACATCCCTTCGTATGAAGTGTCAATATAATGCAATGAAGCCGTGAGTCTGAGTGTACAAGAGTCCTCTTTATGCTTATGTTAGGCTTGGCGCAATCTTGAACATGAATAACTTGACTTTAAACTAAAATCTTTTTCTGCAAATGTATGCACGCCTTAGTTTGTCGAACTTGAATTTCAGTTGGTAATACTAACGATGTTTACGAGTATTTGCGCCAATTCATTTTATTCAATACCTGCTGCAGATATCTCACATTTACTTGCACTTTCCTGTGTTTGTTCAATGGATGGTGATTTAGGAAGCACACGATAAATATTTGTAATCATCAGGTTTATTGACCTTTCAATTCAGACTGCTTGCTCAATTCATTAATTTCCTATATTCACTGCATTTGAAGCTAAGCTTATTTTATCAACTTCAACTGTGCAGAGCAAAAATCCCACTTATTCTGTGTGCAGTCGTTAATTAAGTAGATATCTATTTAGGCGCCAATACGGTAGTAGTCAAGTTTTCACCTGTAACCAAACATTTTTTATTTTATTATTATTATTTTAAAATACATATAGGTAAATAAAAAAATAATAGCCATAAGATCTTTTTGCTTCATTTATGTATTTTTTTTTTTTTGTGTTGTTCTGTATCTATATTTATACTTTTTTTGCTTTCGAATTTTATAAATTTTTTATTTTGAATAAGATTTGTCCTTTTCTTCTTTTGTTCATTACAAAAGAATGCCTCATTCTTTCAATATACAAAAATAAAAATATATTATAATTTTAGGTTTTAATATAAATTCATATATTTAATTGTCTTACTAATCAATTGCCTTACCAATCTATTATTAATTTTACAAGTACCTAAAGCATTCGTACCCTAAGTATTTCACATTGCATTTTTAAAATAATATTATTATTAAAATAATATGAGCATCCAACAACACAAGATCTCTCTTAGGTTCCTGGTTAGGTCCCTGGACTTAACAATATTGAAGGGAATGAACTAGGAGATGAGATGCCCAGAAGAGGTTCTGAACTGCACATAGGAGATGCCGATCTCTCTATACAAACACCGATATGTGAACTGTTTAGGATAATAGAGGAAATCACAAATACTGTGACTAACAATTTATGGGCTAACAGCGAAGATCGTGAGGTCGCTAGACCCCCGTGACCTAGGTTGGACAAAAATAAAACAAACAGCAATTTTGGCTTCAGCAAACCTGCAGTTCGTGTGTTTACTAGAGTACAGTATGCCATTGCGCCTAAGGTAAAATCTATCAACCACTTCCTGTATCTCTGCCCAAGACTGCAGATGAGGCGACTTGGGATTCGTTTTTTCACTGGCTGGGAAGAAATAACGAGAGCTAATTTATCTAATCTCCTCAACTAAATCTGGAAAACAAGGGTAAAAAAGGTTAGCAACTCGCCTTTTCCAGCACGCGCCTTCTAAACCTAACCTAACCTAAAGTTTAAAAACTAGAAAATATTTAACTAAGTTATGAAACCTGTCTAGCAATAATGTACCAAACAAACGTTTTAGAAATAACAAAATATATCACATGTATAAAAAAGTTTTTTTATAAAATCTAATAAAACCTTATGAATATATGTTATATTTACATTTTAGCATTCTACCCAAAATGGACAAATAGACATTAGGTTAGACATTAGGTTAGACATTATATTAAAAAAACTGATTTTCTGCTGGAATACATGGTTTTCTTAGTCAAAGATTCAGTTTACAGAATGCTACAGTTTATAGTTAATTATGGTATAAGTCCCACAATAGGCAATCGCAATTTGTAACCTTAAGGTTTGACTGTAACATCAAAAATTTCTATTGCTAAGAAAACTTCAAACATAATGCTACTACGAATTTAAATTAATAAGCAATTTTTCAGACATATATAATCGCTAGCACGTAGGGTCTTTCAGTTCATTCAATATGAACACCAAACAAAAACAGAATCTATACTTCCAAGTGAATTATTTACTACAAAGCAGAACTCCTATTATATTTGATATGTTGAAGAAACGAGGTGATGAAGAAATAATTTTTCTATAAAAACAAGTTATCGAAAAATACAATGTTTATCTAATGTATACATTCACCATTTTTTCACTCCGATTAGTTAACCAACGATTAACAATAATTATAGCAGTAATTGCAGTTTTTCTGCAAAAATGCTTAATAGTCATTTTGCTTACAATATTTTTTGAAATTAAAATTAATATTTTAATTTAGTGCATTATTTATATTTAATAATTTCTATTTATGTAATTAAATTAAAATTATTTATTTATTTTTTGTAGTCTACTAAGATATTAAATTTATAGAAAGGGAAATTTCGCATGTTAGTTATGCAGCTGAGCTTTCTCAACCAAAACGAAAAACTGTTTGACTATGGAATGCTCAGTTTTTTAGTGGTAGTGTAAACACCAAAGATGTTAAATGTTAAGGATTACCAAATAATGTTATCCTGGACGTTTGGTGAATAAAATTCATGACTCACTCACAAACATGTGTGAGTTTGCTGATGTGGTAAAAAAATCAAATGAATAATATCGTATTTTGGAAGAGTATTTATCTATAAAAACGTTGTCGGCAAGAGTTACGATCAACTCACAGTGGAGTAGATAACAAACAACGTAACAAAATTAATAGGAAATCGGAGTTTTCAATAATATTCGCCCCATAGCGAACGATTTCAAAAATATTTTGGTGGAGGTACTGGTGAATAGTCTGCGATTGACTTTTCAATTAAATACGGGAATACCTCGCTTATAAAATTCAAGTTTACCGCATTCTCAAACAACTACTTTACTCTCCTACTGATAAAAAAATAAAAGCAAAAGCGTTATTCTACAAGTGCTAAAATGATACAAATTCGATTTAAGCGAAGCTTATCTTCAAGTTCAACATGCGGTAGAATATAAAAAATTCCTAGTTATAAATACTTCTTTCGGGTTGTATTAATACCGTCACCATTTAGTATGAGTAGCACCCCAAGAATCTTAAACGACGCTCCGAAATAGAACTTGAAACCCTATTTTGATCGTCGTTTTCAATTAACGCATCAAGAAGGTGTACACCTCTTACAAGCTTAATATGTTATATCCAAATGAAAATTCCATTCTTATTGTTACCATAAATATTCAAAATACTACATGAGGTCCATTGAAAAAACGCACTTATGAAAGTACGTATGACGTTATGTAAGGTTTCACAAATTGATAAAGCCATTGCAAACATAGCCTAGCCCAGTCATATATTACATGTTATATTAGATGCTATATCTAAATTTCATTTTGTAGTAAGAATGCAGTCAACTATGTAAATTATTTTCGCTGTAGAAGAACTCCCACAAACTCTAGTCACAGACAACGGTACGTAATTAATGTCTTTTGTGAACTCTACAATATTTAACATCTATCAAGAGCGCAATTTAATCTAGTCTCAAACGGATTGGCGATTCGTAACAATGCACAAGAAATAGTTCATTAAAATTCTCATAGAGGTAGCCAAAAGATCATTGACTCTAAGACACTCATGTCAACATTACAACACAAAGTGCATCCAGCTGGCAACAATCAATCTAAAAGATTATTGACTCTAAGACACTCATGTCAACATTACAACACAAAGTGCATCCAGCTGGCAACAATCAATCTAAATTTCAAATTGAGCAGCAAATGTACATTTGCTGAGTATTGGTTACAAAAAACGATTTTTGAAATTGTCATTTATATGATATACCTTATATTAACACCGAAATAACACTTCGTTCAATAATGTGTGTGACTGACACATAGATGGCGATTCTAATACTAAATAAATATTTTTTTTCGAAAGTGGCAACCATTTAAGGCTTACTGTCAAAATCATATGTTAATCCGACCATTTGTTTACAAGTTACAGTGCTTTAAGTGACGCTACTTTTGAGTTTTCAAAAAAAAATGAATTCAAAGCAATTTGTTCCACCAAGACAATGCACCGTGTCACAAGTCGATGAAAACGATGGCAAAATTGAACAAATTGAGCTACGAATTGCTGCCGCACCCACCGTATTCTCCAGATCTGGGCCCCAGCGACTACTGGCTCTTCGCAGACCTCAAAAAGATGCTCCTTGGTAAGAGATTTGGCTCAAATGATGAAGTAATCGCCGAAACGAATGCCTATTTTGAAGGCAAAGGCGGTATCGAAAGATTGCAAAAGCGTTGAAATGATTGTATCTCCCTAAAAGGGGACTATGCTGATGAATAAAAACGAATTTTGGCAAAAAAATGTGTTTTAATTAGTTAGTCACACACATTATTGAACGAAGTGTTACCTTATATGATGACATCACATTCACAACTTTCATCTTTGAAGATGCGCAATAATAAGAAAAGTATCCTGGAACTAGAGGCGACAGCTTCAACTACAATTTCGTTGGTAATCTTTTAGACCAACATCATACGATCTTCCAAAAGACCTTTTACCATCGAATCAGGGCACTAAAGTTAGGTCGTATCGTTACCGTCGACTCGGCAATCTAATCGCATCAGGCAACCAGTGGATCGGTTCAACTTGTAAAAAAGTAGAAAGTAACCTCTGTTATGTAAACAAAAACCCTATTATTGTAAAAAATAGGTAATCCTGTTATTGCAAAAAATAGTTTAAATATTTTACCTATATATTGGGGCAATTATAAATTTTTAATATGAAGAATAGGAAATAAATAGTTGAAATAGAAAATATAGTGAAGAAATTGGTACTGTCGACAAATCAATCTGAATACAAAGCTATATTAAAACAGTATTATGTGACACTTTTAGTAAAATTAAAGCCGCTTAAATCGTAAACGTATAGGATTTGTGAAAACAAAGATTTTGTTTTGCATTATAACACACCAACATCAAATTACATTATAAGGCACGTATAAGGTTAAAAAGTGGTACATCCATCTTTTGTACCAGTTTTGGACACATATGAATCCATGTTGTTTTATTCAAATTTGAAGAAATGATTTGTTTAGAAATTGTAAACCTTATAAAAATTGGAAAACCTTTGCAGAAAAATATATTTTAAGAGTATCTTTATATATCTATATATCTCTATACTCTATATCAAAATTATACAAATGTATTGGAAGCGCCTTCTATGATACTGACTGACGTGTTTCTGAGATCTATGGTGGCATCAGTATTTTAAAGGTAAAATATTAATATATAAAGTTTATTTAAAAATCTTGGAAAATTAGTGAGATTTCAAACCACCATAAATTTCGACTCTTTGAAGCACAAAATTATTTTAGGTATCAAATTAAAGGGCAGTTACTTTTCATCAGACAATTTTTTCTCTCCATATTTTATGTTTTTTTTCGAGTATTATTTCCTGCATTTACAATTCAAGTACAAAATTACAAAATTATTTAGTTTCAAAAGTTAATGTTATTAAAAATTGATTTTTGATAAAGATTTTAGTAAGCATATCAACTAAAATTGGTAATTTTATAGCTGTGGTGATCAGATTTTTTGGTTTGCGACACATTAAAAAATTTCTAAGAAAGTACGAGACTATCACAGCTCCAGATTAAATGCCAGATCATACATTGACTATTAATAGACGTAATGGTAATGGTCTTTTGATATACATTTGTAGATTTTTGTTATCACAGATATGATATGGATATGGACTTTTGATAATTACTTGGATATTTTTGTTATTACAAATATGACAACATTGTTTGCTGTCATATCCACCTTAATAAAAAATGACGTCTGATTGTTTCACATTAAACTGTTGTTTAATAATCCATATTGTATAATGAATAATCTATAACTAAACATATATTGCCTTTTGTAATAGTTTTGTTTGGCATATAATATATTACTGAAAAATGTGATATCATATCATATCAGGTACAACAATACCACGAAATGGATGGCATATAAATTAAATGGATTTTTTTAACCCTATGCATATAAAATATATAATATAATAATATATTTGTATTGATGACGTGTCTATATTAGTAAAGTTTAGGTATAGTTTCTTGTGCCGACAAAATAAAAGTGTTAAATATATTAAAAAAAATTAGTATTTATATTTATATTTATATTTATATTTAGATTTATATTTATATTTATATTTATATTTATATTTATATTTATATTTATATTTATATTTATATTTATACTTATGTTTATATTTATATTTATATTTACATTTATATTTATATATATATAATTATATAATATGATTATATAAATATCAATTTAGTCATTGTTATTCGAAATTTCTTTAATAAATCTTCATTGCTCTTCAAAAATATCTAATATTTACATATTTTTATTTCAGATCTTAGGTTTAAAAAAAATACATCCGATGTTTTTCATAACTCAGATATCTATATTGGGTTGTAAAAACTATTAGTGATGCTATTAGTGATGTTATATATATTCCGCCACCTTAAACATATAAGCAGTGAACAATGAGTGGTGGAAGGGGGGGAGGGGGGGGGGGGTCTAGCTTTTCCAATTCGACTAATAAGATTGGGAAACAGAATTAAAATGTGTTCACTCTTCTATGTTTATAAAATTATATGTAGGACATGAATTTCATGGAAAGCATGTTTAGATGACTGAAGTATGTCAATTATATCATAGTAAAGATATTTAATTAAAAGACACATATAGAAATTGTATTTTATTGAAAATTTGAAAGGGAGTCTTCTTTCTATTGATTAATTTAAGAGCTGTACTGAGACTTGCTTTTAAGAAGCAAGTTGTACATTTAAATACGAAACACTGAAGCTTGTTGCACCGTTGTATGAACAAGTGTGTTATATATATATATATATTTATGTAAAGATATAAACATATAAAACAAGCCCATCATTTGCTAAGTATGGTATTGAAAAGCAGCTCTTAATTACAATTTAAAGCATCACTCATTCGGTGCACTGCCTCTTTTCTGAACACCATTTTGATTTTACTCAAAAGGATTTTTGTCTACAACATATTGCAGCAATAGAAATTTTTAATAAATCCATTCTGCGTTCTCAAAGTTTTAAGCTATTACAGAACTACTGAGTTGTAATTGCAGTGCTGGTTGCGGTTTCAGATACATTTTCACAGGCTGCAAAGAAAAAGTATTAAATTTGTAATGTAGTTGAAGGAGTTCTGTCGGACTGACGTTTGTAATTGAGCTGAGGCTCAGGCTGTTGTGGACTATTATGCCGAATTTAACCTTTATGGCTGCCTTTGTGCTTGCAATACATTCGACTCACATAGTATTAACATATTTTCACGCAAGTGCCGAATTATGGTGAAGACATAAAATTCTCGGCTATGTAATGAGTCCGCTTGTATCATAGCTGGAGCCGACTTAATTGCATTGAAAATGTAACAAGATTTCTTCGTACGGAACCACACATCCGCACAAGTGCACCCATTAACTGTATTGAAATTAAAACAAGCTGTGATTGTGTTGAAGCATCTAATTAGCCAAGTTTCATCCATTGCAACTTCTGTTACATGCTTTACTTCAGGATTCATACGATTCATACGATTCATTCCTACGATTTTTGGCAATTTTCATAGTATGGCGCGATTTAAGCCGCTTTTAATATGAAAACTATTTTTGCGCTCAAGAGAAATATGGTTAAATTGTACACAATTGCATTGTGAAAAGTAATTTTTCATTCCAATGCCCAATTATGCTATTTCGAAATTTATTATAAACAAAATAAATTAAAAAAAAAAATGTGATGAATTTATTATAATTATTATATTATAACAGTATTAAAAATGAGGTTTTACTATGAGAATACGTAAAGCATTAGCAAAGGTGCAAATAAAATTTCTAATGTGTTATGAGTATGTGCTTTAGAAATTACCTCCGAAACACCATCTGCCAGTTGCTCGTGCGAATACAATCAATAATACAATTATAATGAGTACAGCAACAGCAACGACAATGCCGACAATAGCGCCAATATCGAGTCCTGCAGTTGGTGGCTTATTGGATGAGCTTATACGTATTTGATAGTCGGCAGAGCCCAATGCGTTTGTTGCTGACATCTCGTAGATTTTTGTAGTATCCTCAAGTGTGAGACCAGCAATGGCCATTGTTACATTGTAGTAGTCCTGTCCTAATGGCTGTGGTTCATATACAGAAAAACGATCCCATTGTTCACCCTGGTTAATAACATGTCCATCAACAGTCCATTGTACGACTGGTGCAGGATTGGCATGTACGGTCATGTTAACAATGGCTGTATGTTCCAAGTAAAGTCCATATACAAGAGCCTCCTGCTGTTTTACGGGAGCAACTGTAATGGAAATGGATTATAGATTAAATTGGTTTGGTTTGGTTGGGGTGGTAGGAGTATTGTTTTTATATCTACTTACATCTAACAAATATTTGCACAGAGCTTTCTTGTGGTTGCAAACTTTCACGATCGGTTTGATGATGTGAGCGGCAGGTCAACATACGTCCATTGTCCTCTGGTCCAAGATGCCATTGAATATCTTGTTCAGTATTAAAAAGTTGAACATTTTGACTATCATTTGACGCAACAACATTTAACTGTCCAACGCGTCCTTGAGCTGGATAATTGTCAAAGAACCAAGAAATATTTGCGGCTGGACGTCCATCACGTACAACGCAACGTGCAACAAATAAGGAACCCTCAGTAAAATAGCCGCGATCTGGTTTTTCCAAAACTGTAATTATTGGTTGCTTGGGACGCACTAAACAACAAATAAATAAATAAATAATATATTTAGTTTTGAGTAAATATTATAATAAATAGATATTCTTAAACTTATTGTAAGTATACTGTGAAAGATGATATATAATAATGGCTTTATGATTTTCGATATATGCATATATTTCTGATTCATGATATATGATTTTTGTGAACCTATTGAACAACTTAGTGTAAGCAATATTAAGTTTAATGGTATCAGAAATAAATACATTATGTTTTTGTAATATAAATAGTATCTAGATAAAAATTAGGTTAAATGTATAAATTCTATGAAACTTGAAAATTTTTTTTAAGTATTCTAATTTTGAGCACATGTCTGAAATACAGATTTTAAAAATATTTATTGAATGATAAAAGACCTATTCAAAAAAAAAAAGAATATAAGTTGTATAGAAATAAATTAAGATCCGAATTAGTAGATATATAAATTTAATTTTTTATTAAATGAATTATATTCAAAAATAATAAATGAGCAATTAATGCAAGGGATTGTTTCAAAGATTACTGATAATAGATATTTGGAGATATCCGAGACAGCACAAGTATTCACACATAAAAAATTAAATTTTGAACTTAAAAATTTCTTTAGTATTATTCCTTTCTCTTTTCGTTATAAATTTCTTATCATAGGTCAAAAATAATATTTATTTAAAAAATAAATCTAAACATAAACAGCAAAAAATTCGTTTCAGATTCCATAGATATCGAAATAAGCAAGGTAGTCCAAATGAAAAATCTTGGTTTTGGTCCTACGTATTAGCTAAATTAAAATAAAAATTTTGGACGTAGTCCAAAAGGTAGCTCAATTGAATTAAAAACTTTGGACGTAGTCTAAAAGTTAGTTCAATAAAACTTCAAAACTATGGATCTGGTCTAAAAATGCATCCCAATTAAACTAAAAATTTTAGTGTTTTGGACAAATTCAAAAACATAACATTAGTAAGTTTTTGGTAGGTTAACATGAATCTATACTTTTAAATAATTTATTGAATTTCTTGAAATTCTTGGAATCGTATGGTTCTCATTTAATTGAAGATAAATTACTTTTACGTAAAAATTTTTTTTAGTCTTAAATTATATATAAAATCTAAATAGTAGATTATATTTACTTAAGTCTTTCAAAATTATATTAGGTTCAATCAATCAAATGTTAAATAAAAATAATATATTCAGTTTGGAAATTGTTAATGTTTTATATATAATACAGTTTTATTATTAAAGCTATATAATAAAGATAAATAGAATACAATCGTTTTGCATAGGTTGTATCTCTATAATAGATTTCAATGCGGAACATATAGATTAATTATTCTACCTCACTACTATATGCTTCTATAAACTTCAACTTGTATCTAAGATTCCAAACTGTAATTTAAAATATCTTTAAAAACTAAGCCACTATAGATAATCACTAGCTATGGTTCCATTGGACAAAACAGAGGACGCTTGATGACTTCTCTGACCATAGAACTTAGTTGTCCCAATCAAATAAAAATAATTTTTAGTGTTATAAATTGAGATATGGAATGGATGTTAAATATAATTTATCTAATAATATATTTAACGGGCTTAATGGTGCAAGTAAATCTAATTTAACTTATTTTATAAAGTATTTTATGTTCTGTTATTAAAAAAATATTTTAATAAATATTATTTTTTTTTTATACAAATATTAAATTTAAAGCTTATTTAACCAATAAATATTTAAATATTATTTAAATAATAAATAAATATTATTTAATAATTAAATAATTAAAATGTAGAATGTTTATGTAAGCAAAAGGTACAAAAGGTTGCTTTGAAATTACATTATATAGTATATAATTCTATATGTAGTATAGATATAGTATATATAAATAAAATGATATAACACATTATTACTTATATACTATATGTACCTTATATATAATTATAAAGAAATGAAGTCTAAAGTTACTTTTACTTTCTCGTAATTTATATATATATATATATTTTAACTACTCTCAAAAGAGATTATGGTTTATTAATCAAATTATAATGTATTTAATAAAAAAATTTTCACTAATTTCTTTCTAATTTTTTTTGAAGTTTTGTATAATTTTGATAAAAATCAAATTAAGTATTTAAAATTTTAAAATGAAAGTGAAATTTTTGTTATTTTTAATTATTCAAGTCTAGTTCTGCTTCAAAGTTTTGTACTTACATGCAACTACCAAATCAATTGTGCCTGTCAGCTCTTCACCTTCCACTCCCAAACTGCATTTTACTTGTCCATTATTGATGGCTTTAACGCTCTTAATGCTGACACCACATTGACCAGATGCTAAGCCACCGCCATAATATCTGAAATTGTCGGATTTTATCCATTCGGGCGATAAATTGAGCACTTTCTCGCCTGGTATTTCGAATCGACAATAATTAATCGAACGTCCATAGCGACAGAGCAACTCCGTTGGATCACCTTGATTGAGCAATGCAGTGTTCGGTTCAACATTTACTTGGCCATATGTGAGAGTATCTGAAAATGGTAACAAAAAAAAAAAAAGTGAAAAAAAATTACAAACTTTGATTCCCATTCATACTAATTGGTTAGCATAATAAGGCAATTCAATGTAGTTGCAGTTGCAGTTGCATTGCCCATTGCATTGGCCGTTGCCATTGCCGTTGTTGTTGTCGTTGCAGTTGTTGATTTCGTCGCAATTGCAAAGTGTCATTGCTGTTGCTGATGCTGTTGCTGTTCCAGCAATGGCATGCGGCAACATGAGTTACGGTATTCAAGCATGCAAGAAATTCAATTAAATTGTGTTCATGAAAGTATTGGCAATGCCAGCAGTTTTGGGTATTGAGTATGGCATGCAACAATCTGCAGGTACTGCACCGCATGCATTCTTTTATTGTTTCGCAGATACAAAAATTGTAGTGCAATATTTTGGTTAAATGGACGATTGATTTTAGAAAATAGCTTTTTTTTTTTTATTTCAATCTTTTTATGTGTCAAAAGGGTTAAATTTCCCTTTTTTTGTGGTTAAACTGAGATATAAAATAAACAGATAAAATTTTGGAAAACTGTATTAAAAATCTTTTTCTTACACTCTGTTGTTGTTATTGTAAATTGTTCTTTTTACTAAATAAAAGACCAGTAGAAAATTGAAAGAAAACTAATGTAATTTGTTTATATAAGAGTAAATGGAATTTTCTTTTTCATTAATAAAATACAATTTTCAGTTTTTAAATTTACAGGACTCACACAATGCCTTCAATCTATAAAGGAGCACTACAGGCTCTTTTCTTTAAGATCAATAAACTCAAATTGCAATAAAATAAGCACAAATAAATATAAAGTTATATATATACATATATTACGTAAACATACTCATGTATCTATTTACATAGATATATATATACATGTGTATATAAAGTAATATACAGATGTCTAAATAAATGGAGAAAATATATTAAAAACTGTTTGGTTACGTATATAAAAATTGGGCTAATACATCATCTCACCATTTTTACTTATATATAAAATAAGTTTATATAGAAAAATAAAGCTTATAAGAGCAGTTACATGTACCTATATATTAACATAAAAAGAAAATACAAAAAAAATATTTCATTCATTATTATACACAAATTATTTTCTGAGCTGATTCTGAGCTTCATATTTGGCAGAACCCGAGTTCGATTCCTGATACTTGCAGTCTCAAAAATAATTATTTACGAATAAGAATTATTTCCAAGACCACTGATGTTGGGTATTTGGCAATACTCGAAACAGCTGTATGATCAGCCAAAAATTCAATCAATTAAAATAACATAAAAAAAATAAAATAAAATTTTTGTTGTTGTATTTCACTACTGTTCGAAAAAACCTCTTTACAAATTATTTTTTCTAATAACTATAGTTAATGTTTTGGCTCTTTTTTTGGACACGAAACTTTCATCTTCAGAAAATTACTGTTGAAGGTTTAAAATAACCAGCAAATTATAATTTAATTTTCGCTGCAAGTCTTTTGCCAAACGACACTCAATATAAGGTGTATGTCTCCAGATTGTAATTGGAACAACACAATTTTCAATAATTAATTTGTTTATTTTTATTAACATTAAATATTTTTTAATTCAACGAACTTTATATACTACCCTCGTCACTTTAGCAATTAGATTATAGTGAATTGACAAAACGTTTACAATAAAACGTTAACAAAGCAAAATGAAAGAAATACCAGAGTACCACAGAATAGAGTACCACAAACAATACGAAAAGAATCTGAAATGCATTTTCAGCAAACAATGGAGATTTATTCTCCAGAGACTGAATCACTTTTTCAAGGTTCGTTCAGATAATAGCGGTAAGAATGCTGTAAATACGAGTGTAAAACTATGTAAAGATTCTAGTGAAGGTGCAATTAAAAATTTAAATAAAAATTAAAACAATGCAAAATAACCTTGAATACGTGTTAGAGTATAAAAAAATACTGCATTAAAAGTTTAAAAAAAGTAGTAAAAAGCACTGGAGTTTAATAAATAACAACAAGAATATTGAAGGTCTTAAAAGACAAAAATCTATTTCTTACAAATTTTTCATTTGAAGTTATATACATTATATATATTCTCACAATCAGCAAAACCTAACCTAACCTATATATACCATTATTACACTTCATAGCTACCGTATTCATTACCCTAAAAACATAGAATTTTTGATACTCTACGCTCTACAATTATATTGCATCATAAAAATTATAACGGGTTTGTCAAAGTATTTTCAGAACAATAAAATGTCGGAGATTCAATAATGTATCTATATTCTCAATCAGTGTTTAAAGACTCAAAGCGAATAGAATGCAAAAATGTTCAATGTATTTTATAAAGATCGTTAAAATAATCGATGTGTCTTCTAAGAATCGGTACTAGTGTCAATACAAAACATAATATCATTACGGAGAGACATACAATTTTTTATGGACCGGTAGGGTTTCACTTTGTTGACTTACAAAATAATCGATATATCTGAATGATTAATAAATGATTCAAAGACTAGTGTGTATCAATAAGAAATTTTGATTAAAAATTGATTATACTGATTGGTCCAGTATTACATTCATTTTTGGATTAATTTTTTCACAAACTAGTGTGTTCAAATAGAGAAATCTTGTTTAAAAATTGATTGTACTGATTGGTCCGCTACCACATCCATTTTTGGAGCACTTAAATAATCGAAACAGCTTGGTATTATTAAATATTGTAATATTATAATAAATATTTAATAAATTTTGAAAAATGTATATAATATTTTAAACAGACTAATATTTTTCTATATATTATATATTATATAATATATAGATATATATATATAATATATATAAATATATGTATAATATATTATATTTGTTAAGTTATATTTTTATATTTAATACTATTATTATTATTATTGACGCATTTAAAATTTAAAAAAATTATAAATATATATATAATATATCATAATCATAATATATTTAATATATAATAATCTATTCTATATATATTAATTTCAAATAAATATTTTTCAATTTTAATTTTGTTCTTGCCGAGAGTGACGCGTCTTTATGATGTAAAGAAACTATTTAAAAGTTACACAAATTCAAATAACAAAGAAAAGACAAGTACAAAAATTTTATTTAATTTATTGAAATTTGGCTGAAAATTGCCAAGTAGTTGTGGTAGTTGATATTTTTCTTTTGTTGTATATTAGCGTTCTAATAGATCTCACAGTTATGAAGGCATCTTTTAATCGAATGAAAAATAAATTTTTTTATCAAATATACCTATATTTTTATTAACTCTTCTATTAAACACTTAACAGGATAGAAGTATATAGCAGCTTGTGCATAAGGTCTCCAATAGTATTTTCTTAGGTATTTGTCTGACTATTAAACTCTTTTAAACTCTTTGAACTCTTTAAACTCTTTGACTTCATTTCAGTAGGGAGTATAAAAGACCCCACAGCTACAGCACATTGAAATAGGATTCTATGTACGCTTGGTGGCATAGACTGCCGTTTCACATATCATTCAGTAGTGCCCTTACAATTGCGATCATTGAAAAATCCTGAACTAAATAACTACAACAAGACTAATCGAAGTGAATTGGAATACTTAGTTGGAATTTTGGCGTTTAGTTATTAAGATAATGGAATGAAAGTTTGGATACAACTAGCACTTATATACAAAAATCATCTAACATAAGATTATGTATATAAATTTAATAATACTGGATTCGACGTCAACAATAGAATTTGTAAATATATAAGGGAAAATTTTATGTTTTATGACATATATGTAGTCCCATAAGTGATTTCTGACGATGTCTGTGATATCTGTGTGGTGGGTATTGATGCACCGGTGAAACCAAATGTAAGTATCTTAACTATTTTGGTTTCCATTTCAATGCTTTCGTTATGACTGCCTTTGATATACACGTATATATGTATAGAGAAAAACAATGTCACTCAAAATACTGACAAAACTAATGTTGATAAAGGCAGCGAATGTAATAGTGATGAAAATGTACAGACAAATTGTGATAGAGTGCAACAATGGATATTTCGATTTATTCATTAAATGATGACATTCAGACTTACTGACACAGAAATCATTCCGTTGAGTTTATTGTACTCTGAAAAGTATTATTTTCGGTATAAAATTGCAGATTGAAGGCTAAGTTCTTTCATTAGCTGAGTGAAAACTAAATTGAAATGCACTAAATGCCAAAACAATAATTTTATACAATGCAGCATTAAATACTTAGCATTTGAATTTAAGTTAATGAAAAGTTATGGAAATTTTTAATTTATTAAAATTTTAAATAAAATAATCCCACTGGTTAAGTTCGAAAGTTTAAAATTACTACTAAAATGCATGAAAGGCTTCTGTGTTTTTCATACTGTGGTGTATTAATATAATATTACTAGTACGTCATCTCAGTGCTCTGCTCCGTTTGGAGAAGAGGATGATTGAAGAAGAATAAGGTTCATACGTCATTCAGGCACTATCAAGCCTGAACACATACTGAGATTAAATTTTAACTATTGTAGTTGTTCATCAAGTTACAGAAAACAATTATTGCTCCATTGTTTCAATCGTTAATATTGGTTTAAATATTTTGATTGTTGGATTAGTTATTTAAATTGTTTGTTATCTAAGACAAAGAGCCATTTCATTACTTTTGTATTGCACTGTATACTTTTGTGAACAATTGAAATGGATATAGAAACGGTTTGCCTGTGTACAATTCAATAGAGAGGATGACCGCAAAACAATTGCAAAAAAACAACAACAACAATTTTATTGTTATATTATTTGTTGTTAATTGTTACAAAAATATTAAACTATTTGTCGTCTAAATAATTATAATGCAATTCAATAAAATTACATAGTTGACTTGTTAGTTAGTTGCAAATTTATTAAGGAAAATCCTTTAATTGCATCAAGTTTAGTTAAGTATCTCTTAAAGAAATATAGAAGGCTTTCTTTTTTCATCAAGCATTTTCAAATGCATATAAAAGAAGAGTACATATTTTAAAATAACATAAACT